AAGTCTGTGCTCCAACAGCAGATGCTGAAGAATAAGAAATCAGAAACTTTCATACAAGTGTTCAAGAGGAAATTTTCAACCCACCAAAACAAGACATACTGATCACCATAGATGACTGGAACACAAAAGTGGAAAACAAAGCAAAATGTTGTAGGCAAATTGTAGGGGTAAATAAAACAGGAAAATGAATTATAGCATTGGGTGAAGCCAACAATCACAACTACATATTTAAAGTTTATCACAACTCTATATTTCAGGCAACCAATTAGATGACTGTATGCATGGACATCACCAGATGGCCAATATACAAATCAGTTAGACTCCTGTATAGGAAATGGAGAAGCTATATACTCACTGCCAAAAAAAAAAAAAAAAAAGACCAAATGTAGATTTTGGTAGCAACCATGAACTATCAATATCAAAAATCAAAGTAAAGCTGAAAAGGATCATTAACAGAAGCATAGTGCCAAGATACAACTTAAATAACCTTCCTGGGAATGTACATGTCACATAAAGAACGTATTTACATTACTGAACTCAGTTGACTGAGAACCAGAAGAACTAAGAACTGAAACCAGAGACATTATTAGGGAAGAATTCCAAAAGACAATTCCTGCAGCAAAAGAAAAGAAAAGAAAAACCCTAGCTGGATGACAGAAGATGGATGAATCACAATTGCTAAGAACAGGCAAGAAGCAAAAGCAAAAAGTGGTAGAACTAGGCTCGTAATTGAGAATGCAACTTTTGAGCGACTGTCACGTGCCATCAAAAAGAACTATTACAATGGTCAGTGCAAAGAAATAGAGGAAAACAACAAAGCAAGAGAAGTGGGAGACTTCTTTCAGAAGATCCAAGAAATCAAAGGGAAATTCAAATCTAGATTAGGAAGGCTGAAAAACAAACAGTGGAACATACAATCTGACCAGGCGAAAATAAGGAGATGATGGACACAGTATATGGAAGAACTGTATAAAAGAGATAAAATATGAGGAACTCATTCAAAGGGGAATCCTATGAGAAGAAGCCTGTGATATTAGAAAGTAAAATGAAAACTGCTCTGAAAACACTTGGAAGGAATAAAGCCCCCAGAGTAGATTGAATGCCAATAGAACTGTTTCTAGTCACAGAAACTGAATTGATCCAAATCCTAACAAGAGTGTGCCAATAAATATGGAAAATAAAACAATGGCTTACAGACTAGAAACCCCAATCTACAAGAAAGACACAAAAGAGGACAACATCTACATAATCATTGCAGATATTTCCCATGCAAACAAATGATGCTTAAGGCGTTTCAACAGAGTATCCTATACCTAAGAAGAAATGCCTGATGTTCAACCTGGATTCTGAAAAGGAAGAGGCACTCAGGAGCACATCAAAAATTTCATAAGAAGATCAGTCTTTGCTTTATAGATTACAGTAAATCTTTGGACTGGGCGGATCACAAATAGTTGAGGATGGCACTGAAAGAAAAGAGGGTGCGTTACCACTTGATTGTCATGATGCATAACATGTACCATGGACAAGAAGCTGCTATTAGGACAGAATATGAAGAAACAGCATGGTTTCCCTTAGGCAAAGGTGTCAGGCTAGGGTGAATTTTATCTCTGTTTGTTCAAACTATATACAGAACATGAGAAAAGCTGAATTGGGATCAGAAGAAGGAGTGAAAATTGGTGGAAGATACATCAATAATTTAAGACATGTAGAGGATAGCTTATTACTGGCAGAAAGCAGTAAAACTGGAAAAAAATTACTGATAGCATAAAGAATGTAAAAGCAGGACTACAGTTGAATATCAAGAAATTAAAAATCATGACTACAGCAAAATGAACAGAACTTTAGTGTCAACAGTGAAGAAACTGAAATTGCAGAAGATTTTGCATACCTTGCCCAAGTCATCCAAGGGTGACTACAGTCTGCCCCAGACTGTTGGAAGAAAGCTTTGTGCATACTCTGGACTAAGAGTAAAATAAACAAGTGATATTTTGAAAATATAGATCAAAATAAAGCCAGAACTTTCATGAGAAGCCAAATTGACCAAATTGAAACTGTCATGTTTTGGGCATATCATGGGAAGGCAAGATTCACTGATGAAGACAATTCTGCTAGGGAAAATTGATGGCAGAAGAAGAAGAGGAAGACTGACTATGAGATGGCTTGATTCCATAGAGGATGCCACAGCTTTTTGTCTACAAGACCCAAGCAGGGCTGTCATGGATAGGACAGGTTGAAGAGCATTCATTCATAGGGTCATCATAAAACAGAAACAACTTGGCAATACATAACAGCAACAAACTTTCTTGTCACAGTAAAAGGAGGAATTGCACCTAGTGACGATGGCAGTATGACAGGAGATTCACTGAGGGAGAAGGACATTGAAATTGTCTAGCCCATGGACACTACAAATTCTGAAGCCAGCATTGTGCCAGATGCCTTCAGGTGTGGTTGACATAAGCATTATACCGTTCAAAAAAAAAAAAAAAAAAAAGATCCAATTTGCATGTTACAATAAGCTTGGATTATTCTGGATCCTGGTTAATAATGTTTAAGTCTGTTTGTACACACTGTCTGACTGCTCCCAATATAAGCAGGAATAACTAAACAAGTATGACATGTAAACTTGGACCTCTGGTTTTTCTCTCTCCCAACAAGCCAGAGAAATAGCCCAACAAGACTCCTAAAATCTCCTTTTTGGGGTGAGACAAGCCAGAGGTCTGGGGTCACATATCACTATCCACTGTCTGTTCACCTTCTCCAATATCCAGAAGGAGCAATTGGGCAATATTTACAAAAATGTCAGTTGCAAACAATAGGATGGCACATGATGCCCTGTTATTGATTGTGCTCATATAACACGGCAACCCATCATGGGTGACAAACTTATTGTTTGCCTTATTTGTTTGGGTTGTTACACTCATAATGGGTTCTCATGTCATTTAGACCTGGGCAACCAACACCATCATGGGTTACAGGAAGTGGTTAACTTGACCACTTTGACAAAGCAGGGGGAAAAAAGCTTGCCATTTTTGCCAAACTAGCCTGGGGAACTATCATTGCCAGCCAACCTATTGAGACTCAAACAGCATGGAGGAGCAACTGTCAGTGACTTGATGCCCCTCCCCCCATAATTAGGTACACCATGTGGGTTTTACTACTTTTCTCCTCTTTTTTCCCTGAGATATCACACTTTGCAGTCTCCACTCTGCAAGTGACTCCAAAGTGCCCAAGCAATACATTGAAGAAGCTGCCAACCCTTCAAAGATTAGCTCAAGTAATTTGCACAAATATTTTTAAACTTTTTTTTAAGTCAGACTTGAGCAAGTGCATGGGTGCCCGCATGCACAGATCCAAAGTTGCAAGCCTTATCTGGCTAATGTCCTTCAAGGGTTCTGCTATCTAAGTGCAGCAGGCACCCACCATGGGTTTTAAATAAATAAATCCAGGGAGGCTGCAAGGAGCTTTTTCCCATTTTGCTTCTCCTGACAGCTGTCAAAAGAAAGCAAATCTGCAAGTAAATTTCATGCATAAAAAAGGTGGCCAGTAGATCACTCCCTTTGTAGCAAGATTATCTAGGAATGTTTTCTGGATGTGACACATCCTCACATTTTTCCTCACACTTTTCAATTGTTTGTGGAGGCCCTAGGTGCTAAAGGAAACAAAAGAGTACAAGCCAGCCCTTTTTCACTAGCTGTCTAAATTCCACTTCCTTTTAAAAGGCTTATTTTACAGACTTACCTATTTTTTGACAGATGCATATGCATTCATGTAAAAATAGAACATTTAAAAAGGAACCAGATTGACAATTCACTGACAAAGCTTCATGCATTCATAAAAGGAGCAGGACATAAAAGGAGTCCTTCAGCACATTGCCAAGATGCAAGGCTTACAGTTTTGGACCCATGCACATGGATACCTACATAAATCCACCCAAAATTAGTTTTAGCATGCTGAACACATTTAGAAAATTTCTTGTGCTAATTTTGTTGCTGCTGCTGCTATTAGTGGGATGACATTGCTTGAATGCTTTGAAAGGGCCGTCACTAACTGTCAAGCTCAAAAAGTGATCTCCCCTCTGCACAACAAAGGGAGGAAAGGGGAAAAAATACTGCAGCAAGCACAAATGAGTGCATGATTATGGTAGAGAGAATGGGCAGAGACTGATCCTGCCATGAAGTCCTTTGAGATTGCAATAGGAAGACTGAATGTAAAGGAAGTGGGGACAACTCACAGTGAGACTGGTTGTCTGTCATGGGTTTTTTCATGAACAATTTGATTATGATTAGCTTGTTTGCACAGAGGGTTATAGTGACATGCAAATCCAATGATTTGGAAGATGCATGTAAAATCATGGTGATGATAAAAAAATATATTTTGCTTTCTAGTGTCTGTTTACCTGCAGTTACAGAAATAGTTCTCTTATATTTTGCAAGACTGTTACAAGTTTGCTTTTTCTGTCTAGTAATTGACACTCAGTAAGCATATCTATCAATCTTGAATTAAGTCAAGCTTGTGCAATAACATGAAGTGAACTGTTGTGAAACCTCCCAAACCCTAGGTGTATTGCCACTTTTCTTCCTTGAAGTAGAAGTGCTTACTCACTTTAGTTCCTGTTTGGTGAAGCAATCCATCACAATTCTTATAGAGACTTGCTGTTCTGTCTGAATTTTGACATGTTTTATCTTGAAAGAGGTGAACTTGAGTAAACAAAGAGCTAACATGTAGGTTTCACTTTGATGATATAATCAGTCTGAACACACAAGGAACACACAAGCCTCCAAGTGCCTTGAGAATTTACCTGTTTCTAATGGAACATGACACAGCAGTACAGAACAGAGAAAGGCCTGCAGATGATGTGTTGCATAAAATAAAAGGAAAACTATTGTAAATCTCAAGACCTTTACTTGAAAGCATGCATTTTCATAACACAATGTGTTAAGACCTTCATTCTTTAATCTAAATACCCCTTACCTCAAGGCAGAAGATTCTGGGTGTCTTACCTAGTAATTGTCCCCAGGAAAACCTCTGCCTGATCTGGCTTAGATTTGTAAATGACTGGGAATCCACTATGGCTGGTGCTAGCAAGAAGCAGAGCCAGGAAAGCTATGTTCTCCTTTAAATGGAGAACTCTGACATGAAGCTTCATGACATCTCTGGCAGTAAACAGTTCCAAGTTTAACCTGAAAGACATAAAGCAGGCAGCCAACAATGTATTTAGTAAACAGGAAACAAGGCATGCTGTACCATGTTCACATCTGATGACTTTACAATCTGCTAGTGAATTACTTCAGGCTGCAAATGAACTGGTTTTATTTGAGAATATTTTGGTTAAAAATGTAATTAGCCAATAAACTGATTATCAAGCATGGCTTCCCTACTATGAGTTGGATGCATGATAAATTCAACCAGATGAAAGCAATGTATTTCTATGAGAGGATTAGAGCAATTATTCAATTTCTGTGAGTAATTTTTTTGTTTTAATGTCCTAGCTGAATGTGAAATCTTCAGAAAATCACGTACCATTTTTTTAAAGTTCTTGGAGCTAAGAGGATAATGGGAAGACAAAATAAAATGAATCTGGTTTTCATAAGAGTGGAAGAGTGGTTAAATTGGCTCAGAACAGTTGTCCACCCAACTCGGTATCCTGCTTGTGACACTGTCCTCTGACATCTGCTTGTAGAGCTTGAAAACCAGTAATAGATGCTGTAGATCACAGATATCATGGATATTGGTGCTATGTCTGCATTATTTATACTATTTTAACCCATCATAATATATTGTTAGCAGCCTTGAAGTCTCTGGGGAGTTATGCTGGCAGGGTATAAATTTTAAAATCTGGTGTAATTACAGGTAATATTATTATTGTTATACAGATATACCAATATTGTGTCCTATTTTGCAGATGACGTGTGTCTTTTTGAAAATATCCTGTATCTGAAGAACTAGCCAGCCCAACTCTGGCTTAAAAATAAAGACCCATAAGGAAGAGCAGTGAGCACCTGGACAACAAACAGAACAGGCACACAGGTCACCATGTTAGAGTCTTCCCCACCATGAAAGGATACTATATTTCTATTTAAAGTACTGCAGCTATTTATAATTTTGCATCTACAACTATAAATCAACATCTATGCAACAATGTGCCCCTTTTTGGTGATGCATGAATGGCCACCTTTATGGCAATTTCTTCTAAAGAACTCAGGATTTCATCCTTACGTCTCCTCAACAACTCTGAAAGCTAAGTCGTTTAGGCTGAAAATTTGAACCTGGAATTGTAATCATGTTTGGGACATATGAAATGTTGAATAAAGACTGGATTAATGTGCCAAGTATCTTACAAATAAATATGGGCAGTATCACTTCACACTGCAGGTAGCAGTTGCCCCAGTGGAATAGTCCTCCATACCAAAGCAAAAACAAGCAATAAAAAAATCCTTGCCCATAAAGACTAGATGCTCAGAAAGGTTTCTAAACCTTCTGGACATGCCAGTTCAGAGTCCAGTGAGGAAATAAAGTAGCCACATCCTTTGCTGATGTGGGATTTAGGCCTTAAATGTGATAATAAAAAGTACAGTATATCCCAAGTCCAAATATATTTGAACAAATAAGAACATTTTAAAATTTCCACATTAAACATGATCGTGAAGATCAGCATGAGGGAACAAGCAGCGCTGCTCATTCACAACCTTTCCAATCCTGGATTGTTTGCTTTTTGGATTTGCTTTTAACTTGAGTTTCTCATTTCACTTGGTGAGAATGTTTATCCATTGACTAGCTGAAGATTTTCATCGGAATAACACTGGATTTTAGCTGGACTTCTTGTAAACCCTCTGTTTTATTATGTTGACTAATTATTGGGCCTTATATAAATATATTTCAGAAGTTTGGTTTGTGAATGGCTTTATTTTCATGATGACTGCTTGCCAGTAACATTTAAACACTCTTTATTTAAAACTCTCAATTCTATCTCTCTATTCTAATTTGGATGTAAATTCAAAATAAGCAATCATATAATTATTTACCTGTTGACATTAATTGCATCCATGATTAAATCTGCTTATTTTTAAGCTAATTTTCCATTTTCATGGTTGCTTTTATACCTTTGTGTCGCATGTTTGACCTGGACTGGAGAAAAGCTCATTAACATCTTCCCACCACAATCCAAAAGGGGGAAGATCAATAGCATTCTCTGGTTCTAACTGTCTCAGGCTCTTCAGCCACAAAGACAGCTAGGTACTTCAATCTGAAATGTGTTCGGGTTCATTTTATGACTGTGCCACTTGCTTGTTTTAAGACAATGTAAAATACTATTTATTTACCAGTACTGGTTGAACAAATCAGACAATCTAGATGTACCCTGTTGACAACATAAGGCACATAAGCAGCAGGAGGAAGAAAAGTATTGGTGTATTTCTGAAGACTCACACACACACTGCCTGGGTGCATATCTATAGACTGACCGTGGGTAATACACACAAACAATATTGGGTACAGCACTTCAGTATTCAGTCTTCTTTGCCCAACAAAGTTGAACAGTGAAAGCCCAGGCATATTGCATAGGTAATCAAAACAAAATGACCTTACCTATTTATTATATGTTTCAAATTTTAAGAGATGAGCAGTAAATTCAAATTTCAAAAGTACAAATGTCACATTTACTGCGCTATCACTGTGTACTAAGGTCCAGAGTCCTGAGACAAGTGTTTATATAAGATTAGCAAATGTCAATTTATATGTAGATAAAGAGCTAAATTTTACAAAGGCAAGCCAAATTCCCATCACCTGTCTTCTTAAAAGTTCCTTTAATATGGCAACTTCATGTACCTTTTCTGCCTGATTGCTATATACAAAACCATCTTGATCCCCCTTTTTCTCCAAAGATTTAGATGTCTGTCCACTTTGTGCATCAATATGATATAATGGATGGTGTGCTGGACAGGAAACATCTGGGCCCAAGATACCACTTAGACATGAAGATAACTTGGGTGACTTTGAACCAGTGAATGAGTCTCAGCCTCACATACCTTACAGGGCATCTGTGAGGATAAAATGGAGAGGAGGATTCCCAGCCACACCTAATTTAAGAGAAGGAACAAACAAAACCTTCCTCAGATTCTCCACTCATCCCATCCTCACCTGTCCTTAACCAATCCCAAGTCGAACCACAGTAGCCCTTCCTGTTAGTTTCCTTAGTTCTTCTGCACACACCATCCACTCACAGCCCACCCCAATAATGGCAGGATGGGCCCCTATCTCGATCTATCTATCTACCCCTCTTTCTCTTCTTTTCCTTCCACCATTTCAGCTCAAACAGCCAATGCTAGCAAGCTGCAGGAAACTGTTCTTGGCTTACTCTCTTCCCCCAACCCAACTGTCAGCTAGCACCAAGTATAAGCCAGCTCCTCCTTTACTATAAGTCCCAAGGCTCCACTGAAGCCTTCACATGCCTGCAGGGGGCTCTCACCTACCTTCTTGAATCACCACAGTTGCACACAAAATGATATCTAACTCCAGGCAAGTATATGTACATTCAGTTTTGCTATCACGAGGCCCTAGAATGCCTTTTCCATGTGCACTGGTCTTCCCTCTACCATCTTTTGTTTTCTGCCTTAGTTCCTCCCAACACACAGTAATTGGCTACTTTTTGCCAGTCGTTTCTGTCCTTTCCACACCTACCTTATAGCTGATTAGCTAACTACAAACAACTTGCTCTCCTAAAGTCATGCACAGCAGCAATGAAATGAGACTAAAACATAAGCAATATGCCTACACTACCACCCATGAATAAATGACCCAAGGTCAGTGTCATGCCTAGCAATGTCCCTGCACATGACCATAATGAAGTCTATTGCCTGATTTGTACATAACACCATGGGTTAGAAACATGGAAACTGAGCAAGTCAGAAGGGGCCTCCCGGGCCATCTAGTGTGACCCCAGCTCCAGCCGGCTCCACTCATGGGTTGTTCAACTTATGTATTGGTGGGGATGTGCCAGTGCAAGCAAGTGCACTGCCTCAGGCTCATGCATTGCTTTTGCTTTGCATCCACTTTCATCAGCAAACTTGGAATGCCCTGTTTCTGCTTTGTCTGATACAACATGTACATCTGGAACAGACAACCCAGAGTTCTAACCCAATGACATACCACAGATTCAAACTCTGGTTTGATTGTTGCTGAACAACCCAGAATGTGGGGTTCATATGTCACATGTGAGAGCCAGTGTGGTGTAGTGGTTAAGAGCATGGGACTGGGACTCAGACGATCTGGGTTCTATTCCTGGCTCAGCCATGGAGCCAGCTGGGTGACTTTGGGCCAATCACAGACTCTCAGCTCAACCTACCTCACAGGGTTGTTGTTGTGGGGATAAGATGGAGGAGGAGAATGATGTAAGCTGCCTTGAGCCCTTTGTAGGAAAAAGGCAGGATATAAATTGAAAAAAATAATAAATAAAATAAATAAATAAATAAAAGCATTCATAGGATGCAAAGCAGAAGTGGCAAAATGCCAGGAAGCCATTTGCTCACTTCCATGCATACCTGAAAACTTGTTGCTGTCAGTCTAAGAATAAATATTACATCCCATAATTTTTTTCCTAAACCATAGATAATAATGCACCCATCAAGAAAATGAGTCCTTTTTATATGACTCAAACTACTAGGGTTAGGATTTGAACAGTAGAGATTTGGGAGTTTTACAGTATGTAATCATTCAACTGCTTTGATATATATTTACTGTGGAATCCATAAAATAAACTTCTCTAGTTTTTTAGATTGGTTTTGATGGACCTGCTTTCTGTCCAATAAATACATCATGCTAAGCAAGCAATTATGAGAAGCAAGAACTTGAACGGTGATGGCACCGCACAAATAAGGAACTCCTTCCCAGAAGAAATTCTTGAAGGTCCCTCTCATTCTGTTTCTCACCATTAGGAAAAAAAATACTTTTTTTCTTTTTTGGTATCAGGATGAAGAGGAGGGAAGTCCTAGCACTAGTCCTAACCCTAAACCTAAGCAGTGTATGAAGGGGAACAGTCTCCATGAAGTCAGGTTGAAAGCAGCCACAATGGAAACATATTATGCTCCAGTTTCTGCAACTGTTTTCACTCTGACAAGTATTGCATGAACAAAAAGTTTTATACAGGATATGAATATATATAGATATTACAATTTAACTCACTGAT